ACCATGGATAAGGTAGTTTTATGTATGGAAACTGAAATTTGATTTAACTTTTACCTCATCAACTTGTCTTTAAAACTTAATAAAAATTATTTAGAATAATAACAAAATATTAAACGTTTGTTACGATGAAAACAGAAAAACAATGAAAATACACTAGAACAAGCTTACGAGGGATCATATTTTGCCTATGTGGATGACACTTCTTTCAATGTAGGAAATACATCAGTTCTTGGTTCAAATAGATTATTTCCAGGTATGTAAACTTTTTATCTCTTTGCATAAAAAATAACCCTTACTTCAGTACCATTAAGTTCATGAAATATCTGATAGAATATAATGAAATAGTATAAATTCCAACAACGTTTTAAATTCAGCCGATATTAATTCCGTTATTACTATTAACCAAAAAAAAAAAAAAAAACAGATCGAACTTCATCGGCTGAGGGACAATTCACCAGTAGAAGAGTAACCTTTCTTAAAATTTGCAAGATTGATTTAAAAAAAAAACATTTGATGTAATATTGTCATTTAAACTATAAAATTGTTTTTAAAGTCAAATATGTTTTATTTGATAATGATTATACTTTTTTATACACTAAAATTGGTTTTAAGCTAAGAAGTGGTGCCTACGGTTTCGTTACTTCAGCTACAGCGCAGACTCCACTGCGGCCCTTAACGTGGTGACGTACAATAATGTTACAAAAGAAGTGAAGTATCATATCAATATCACCCGTTCTGATTTTGAGGAATGGAAATACGCAGAAGAAAACATAAAGATAGAGAATGATTTTTTAGTAAGTCTGCAATTGTTTTTTTTTCAAATAAAATATTGAAATCTTAGAATTAGATAAGATATCCAAGTGAGGTTTTATTGTTAAAAACGTGCAGTACAAAATGTGTAATGTCTTCCGGCCCTCGGGCTGATATGGGGCCACTCGGGCTGATATGACATATGATATGGATTTTAGTATGTAATATTCTCTATTTATCATATACTTAGTAGTAATTTTCTGAGCTAATAAGGGACCGCGTCTCAAAATACATGTATTTACTTTTATAATAATAAAATTAGGCCTACAGGGGGAAAAGCTTTTGAATACTTTTTATGTAAAATTATTATACATGTATATGATGAGTTATGCTATGTAAGATATTATATTTAGCAGACTTTTTAAAAAATTAAATTTCATGTGCACACATGTATATTTTATACCTTTTCTTTTTTAACATGATTTTTTCCATTGTGAAACACAATAATTAATATGGTTATATACATGTACCTATCAGGCCAAAGGTCCGTAAAAAGCTTTATTTTTTCTCAATAAAAACTCAGGCAAATGCCTTAAATCTAGTCTATTCTGTTGAATAATTAGAATAAGACCATACAAATGAGCAATTATGGTTATCTTTCTGTTTTGTTAACTATACATGTATGTGTAGACCTATTTGTTGTTTATCAATTGCTGCACATTAAAATTTACGCCATGTAGTGGCAGAAATATGGTTACCTGAGGAGGGGGAGTGGTCCAAGTAACAGTGGTGTTATTTACCTGGAGACCCCCAATACCCAAGATGTCAAAATCTACATACACGTAGCATTACACAGGAAGTCTGTGTCTGGTATCAGGGTCAACATTCCGTGTTTCGTGTCTAAATTTGAGTGAAACTACTTGAAATAATTGAAATATTTCAATATAAAATTTATTTATCAATAATTTCAGCGATATCTTATGAAGAAAAAAAATTATAAAGAAATATCGTTTTTATATTCTAAAAGATGACAAATTAAAGAAAAGAACACAGAGTAAACCTACAAAGTAAATATATCTTTTTTTAATTACCGGTAAACTTGTGTAAATATCAAAATTTAAAAAAAAATTCATTCATAGGTAGGCCTATCTGTCGTGTGACAATGTACCGTACCGCGATAGGAATATTGCCTACGTTCTGATCAACAATAGTGTCGAAAATATTCACTATTTCCAGGTGTTCGTACGTGTGATTAAAATTTTTTATTGTTTGCGAGATATTTTTTTTAAATACTTTTAAGAATTGATCTTTGGCTGTATATATTCATTTTTAATTTCGAATATTGGGTATTGACAGATGTTAGGAAATTCGAACTAAAAGTTACAATCTCGAAACTCGACAGCTGTTTCTGACATTTCAGAACTTTACAACGGAACATGGTATAGATTGTATTCATATATAAGTAGATAAAACATCGGATAAAGGAATTTTTTATCCGTGCCATTTGTGCTAAATATCTTTTCCTATTTTTCATAATCCAATTTTAATCAGCAAATAGCGTTTCCGTGCACAGACTGGTCTAAATTCTACAGAGCAGATATCTTGGAGGACATATCGCCTAAAATACAATATAGCCGTTGAGATTAAAAGCAAATATTTTATGAAGTCATGTTTTATTTATCTACTCTCAATTGTTTTTAAAATAAAATTTTACCAAGATTCTTTTTTAACCCCCGTGTATACAAGGCGGCTACATGAAAGTGTTTGACGCGTGACCAGGCAATCGTTTTCAAAGGACACAAACTCAGACTATCAGGTAGCACAGGTAGCTGGCCTGTCAATCAAAACAGAAGCTATTGTTTTTTTAATGATTGACAGGCGGTAAATTATTGATCTTGAATCAGGTAGATTTTGGGGGCGTTAACATAAAATTGGGTGTTTAACTGGGATTTGTATTTTAGATTAATACTAATGAATCCAAACAAGTGTGCTTTTCAAAAATTACAGATATTTCTACTTCTTACCCCCCGTTCACACACAGCTGCGACTCTACGGCGATAATCCCGATCAAGCCACGATCTGAAAATTTTTTGGATCGGGGCAGATCGCAGCCGATCGGCGTCAAAATAGAGCAATTTGGCAAATTTTGTCTTCGTTACGACCGTACTACGATATCCCTACGTCAAACGCGCTGCTAACACGCTTCAACTACGATGTTACGCAGACAGTTGCTGACAAGCTACCGTGTTTACTGCGTTTACGCTACGTTGCCACTACGACATTGAAGACCATACTCCGACGCTACACAGACCTGAATGACTGTACCACGATGTCGCTACGGTGGTGCCGACTATATTACGATTGCATCACACGTCTAGTACGAATTTGGCGATGATGTAAATATATCTTGCAACCGTAGATTTTTTTGCGGCCTTTACCACATGGTTTACGGGCATTTTCAATTGTAACTGTAACAAGATGTGAAAAGTCTCAATTGCAAATGATCAAGTACAGTGTCACCCTTTACATGTAGTTTACAGATGACGATTGGTCAAATATCAGCGCTATAAGAACAAACTCCTGTCTGATAGGTCGTGATATGATCGGCGTAAGGTCATTATAGGTCTTCGTAGGATCTTCAGGAACGTAGAGAGATCGTAGTGAGAACGTAGTACGAACGTAGCGGGAGCGTTGTATGAGCGTACTTGGTAAGTTCCTACTCTCTAACGGCGCTTTTACTACGATCACGAAGATCTCTCTTTGTTGCTTCCGCGCTGCTTGTGCGATTATGGCGCTTCTACTACGCTCTTTCTACGACTTAACCCCGATTCTTGTTGGCCACGATCCCGCTACGCTTGTTTTGAACATGTTCAAAATAAGCGTCGTAAGAGCGTAGAGCTCTCCAATCATGAAGACCCTACTGCGATCATACTACGCTTATGACGACTTCACGACGTTTCTCCTGCGATTTGTCACGATCGGCCACGCTTTGATCGTAGTAGAAGCGGCGTCTATGTGTGAACGGGGAGTAACATATTATGTCAATTTCAGCTTGGTTTTCTAGCTAGAACAGGGAATCGAAGGTCAATTTTTGCTATAGATGATGTTACTCTGATTGCAGGCTCATGCGGTGAGAAAAAATATTTAAAATCAAAGTTAAATAAATAATTTTAATGGTTCATAAATTACCTCTAACTTTATCTAAGGTTCTAAGAAAATATTCTTACGCATTGATTTAATTGGTGTTTTGTCCACCAAAATATGACTGAAATATTGCCGACTTGGCGTTAAAGACTAACCAGACAATGTATGTTTTTGAATATGAAAGATATTCTCTTAATAGAGAAATCGACAACAAAACTGCTTCATATGAAAGGGGAAATGAAATGTAACTTTGAGGGAGGAGTGGATACATGCTTTGACCAAGACACATCTGATGACTTTGACTGGACCATTACAAGGGTAAGTACTGGTTTTTAAAGACATTGAACACAATTTTGGATAAGGAATCACTGTGTAGATAACAATCGATGGGTCGTATTTGGATTAAAAGAAATCATACAAGTTGATATTCCATTGTTTTGAATTTATTTTGACAATGATTTTTTACGATTACGCGATCATAGTCGAGGGTTCAAGGTGGATTACTACGGAATGCTTACTCCTCCTAGTCCTACAAATAAACTTCGATATCAAATTGCTATGGTTTTCAAATGTTTTTAATCTTATACTGAACAACTCGCTTATCTTTTCAAAATAGTTTACTGTATTTTACAGGAAGGTCAAACAAGTACATCTAACACAGGCCCTAGCAGTAATATTGAAGGAAACTATTTCAGTTATATTGAAGCTCATGGACCTGGAAGAAATGATGTAGCACGCTTGATATCAAAATTTGTTTTGGAAAGTATGATTTTAAGGATATTTTGTATTATGTATATTTTAATTTTATTTACTTTCCCTTGTAAGTGACCTAAAAAAATGAAAGTTTTTAAAAATATTTTCTTGATCAACAATAACTGTAATTCCATGTTTGCATTTTGTCAATTGAATTAAGGATTGTTATGTGAGTTTTGTACATGTTAAATTACAATGTAGTTTCCCAAATATTTTGTAGACGTCAACATAACACTCAGCATGTGGTATAATATGTATGGACGTGACGTCGAAACTCTGAAGGTTTTTCTCAGAAATGAAGCACAAGAGGAACTCATTATATTTCAAAGATCTGGAGATAAAGGGAAATCATGGATCTTTATAAATCTAACATTAATAATAGAAGGAAGGTGGCAGGTAAGAAAAAGAATATTTTAACTAGGAGACTTATTGTTCACAGAACAATAGAGGTCTTTCCAGCTTTTTAAGTGTTTCCGTGTCATTTGGGTTGAAAAAAAGAAGAAAAACCCAAATTAAAAAAAAAAAAAAAAAAAAAAAAAAAAAAAAAAAAAAAAAATTAAAAAGTGCTGCCAGCAGGATTCGAACTGTGGACCCTCAGATTGCAAGGCGAACGCTCTATGCACTACGCCACAGGCTCCGATAAAGTTAATTTCCGTAAACTAACAGTGTAGAAAAAAAAAAGAAATGAAAACACGTGGATTTAAATAAAAATAGAAACGCGTGAAGTTTTAAATAGTACAGAAACACGTGTATTTATTTGTTTGTGATGGAACATAGGGAGGAATAATGAATAGTTCTAAGAAAAACGATTGGTGGATATTGAAAATGGAGATTTCCTGAAAAAAAAAAAACATTCGAGTTTGTTTATAGTTTGAATAGATTGAGTTAATCATACATAGCTTAAGATACATTCGAACTTCCGTGTCGGCACTGTGTTTACAATTTGTGAAAATATAGGCGCGTTCGTTTTGACAGATATGGTGAACTCATAGGTTAGATTAAATAATCATCTCTATTTGCATTGAATTTATAGTTATGAGCATAAATTAAACTTGAAACATGCTTTTATTTAAGAAAACGGTGTCAGCGGGGGCGTGGAAATTTATTTGATAGGAAAAATCCCTATTTTCGAGATTCATCCAAATTTAAAATTTAAAATGTTAAATCTAAATAAATTTTAAATAAAATTTCCCCATTCTAAAAAAGAGCAAGAATACTTGGTATTAAAATGTCGTATTAGAGCAGGAGAATCAAATGCTATTAACAAAAATTGAAGAAATAGCCAAGGCAAGCTTTAATTAATTTTTATGCTCATCAGCACTTAAATTTTAGACAAAAAAAAAAAGTAGTTTTGGGCCCAAAATTTAATAGAATTTCATCATACTTTAGAGACTCACCGTAAAACTCTCAGGACACTTTTATGAAGGTCTTCTACATTTTTTTTGAATTTTATGTGGGAAATTTCCTTTTAAACTGTACAAAATTTGTTTACGTCACTATTGATTTTTTTTTTTTTTTAGAAAGAAGGGGGGGGGGTATAAGCATTTGTTTAAGAGAGAGTTGTAAATACCTCCAATACCTTAAGCTTGATTGTGACCTTTGGGTCAATGGGGTCAAAGGTCAAGGTCATTCATCAAGGTCAAAGGTCAAGGTCATCAAAAAAGAAAAACCCACTTACATGACTTGAGTTTTACACTTGAAGCTGAATCTAGGTAAAGGTTATGAATACATGTATACCTTTTTAACTTTTGAGAAAAGGTCAAGGTCTAAGGTCAAGGTCAAGTATCAAGGTCAAGTATCAAGGTCAAGGTCAAAGGTCA